ATTGACAGTTCACAATTATGTTGATGACTGGATCTAGATTCAGGTGCTTCCTTTCATACATCTTCCAACCGGGAGTTAATGCGGAACTATGTTGCAGATAACTTTGGGAAGGTATATCTGGCTGATGGAAAAACTCTAGATGTGGTGGGGATAGAAGATGTTGATATTGCACTCCCTAACAAGAGTAAATGGACTTTGCAAAAGGTCAGACACGTTCTTGAATTGAAGATTGAAGAAAAACCTCATTTCTGTCAGCTCAATGAGGGTGGTCATTCAGTAGTGTTCTCAGATAGTACCTGGAATGTGACTAAAGGAGCATTAGTACTTGCTCGGGGTAAGAAAACTGACACACTATATATGACTACAGGTTTACTCAAACGTGGACACATGAGCCAGAGAAGCATTATCAGGAAGCAGAAGAAAGTCAGTTTCCTAAAAGTCGTAGAACCCAAAGGCAGGAAAACTGGATTCTGTACGGACAGATAGTGGAGAACCACAAAGCTATGAAAAAATCTTGCAAGATGAAAGTTCGAGCAAGTGGGAGCTGACAAAACTTCCACCAGGGAAGAAGACATTGCATAACAAGTGGGTGTACCGGGTGAAGACTGCGCTTGATAACAGTAAAATGTACAAGACTGGACTTGTTAAAAAAGGCCTTCAGCTGAGGCTGGATATTGCCCATGCGGTAAGGTGTTACTCTTGAGAAACTGAAGTTGTGTGCAGCTTCAGTTGGTCTTCTGGCATGAAGACCAGGGCTTTGAGTTGTAGAGGTGGAGGATATCATGTTTGAGGAAAAAGTCGGTGCAGCCAGCAGAAGATGCAGTCAGTGTCCTAGTCTCCAAGTGAGAGAATTGTTAAGGAAAAGGGAGACTCGGTCCACTTCCTTGAATTGGCGACCTCGACACTTATGAAAATTATTTAAATTTATTTCCTTATATATTTTGTTCCCTGCTATAGTTTGATGTTTCCCTGTTTTTTTATTTAAAGCAGTTGCCTTCTATTGACATGAAGAATTAAGGAAAGCTTAATTAATTAATTAAGTTTTACCATATTAATCTCCCACCCCTTCTGTTGCTATAGAGAAAAAGACAATGAATTTGATAGCTTGCCTTAATGGACTTTATATTGGTCATTAAAGCATGATTCCATGTTTTCTCTATGGAATCACGAAATTAAGGGTTACCAAAATAAGCTGGATACCGGGAAGTTTTAAAAGGGGCTCACGATTACAGGGAAGTGGGATTACTCTCCAAACAACCTTCTTTCCTTGGATTATACTCTGTCGTGAGACTGAAATAAAGGAATCACAAGGAAGCTTTTCTTTAAAAGTTGTCTTTCATTTTCTTGGTGTGCCTCTCGGTTTAGAGAGAGAGAGAAGGTGAGGAGAGAGAGAGAGAGAATTCTTTCTTGTAAGTCGACGTGGTCGACGGTGTAATCCTCAAAGCTAATAAAATCCTCTGCAGCTCCGTGGACGTAGGCAATTTGCCGAACCACATAAATCTTGTGTCGCCTTTTCTAGAGTAATTTTTCTAGACCTGTTTTTCGCTTTATTGCCGTCATTTTTTTTTACAACACTATATATATATATATATATATATATATATATATATATATATATCTGTGTGTGTGTGTATGTGTGTGTGTGTGTGTGTGTGTGTGTGCCACTTGAATTTCATAACCTTCTTCAAAACAAGTGAATTATTCTTAAAGATCATGCTCCTATATACCACAACAAAAAATGATGTTAGTAAATATAAAAATTGCCAACTCCAAGACATTGTTCGAACCTTATTGCTGGAATTCTCAGTTTCACCTAAATTTTGCGTTTAAGTATTAAGCACCAAAATGCTATCAAATTAATAGATCAACCTATAGAATTATTAAATTTGACTCTCATTATTATCATTTCTTCTAAAAATAACCAAACTACAATGATTTAAATAACATTTTTTTGTGCATGTCATATCCTTCTAATGGGCAATATAAAGTTTTAGCTCAATCTGTTAAATGTAGAATTATGAACTACAGAACTTTTTACAAAAGCTATGTGTGTTATGATCTAGGCTCTAAAATATTTCAAATTTCTCATCATCTTGTATTCTTTGAACATCATTTTTTTTAATCTATTAATCTTGAGCTCTTGCCAGAAATCTATGTTCTTCCTATTGTTGATGATCAAAATCACAATCCTGAAATATTCAAATATGAATTTACACATGAAAGAAAACATCTAACCGTACTGGTTCCTTATTCAAATCTTCCAATCAAGACTATGTCCATTGATCCACAACCTGAAACTATACAAATCGATTGAGCACCTAAGCCTACCAATGAGATTTAAATTACGACTCCCAAACAGTTTTCCAAAGTTTCTCATTCTCCAAATTATTTTGATTTTCACCGAACATTAGCCTTAATTCATATCCGTTCAAGCAATTCAAACCTAGTAACATGATTGCTGGAAAAAAAAAACTACAGTAAAGAAACTTCAGGATCTTGACGATTATCATAAATGGAAGATTGGTAAAAATAAAATAAATGAGTTATTGTTTAGTCTCCTCCAAATATTAAAAACTTAGAATGAAAAGAGTTTACTCAAATCAAATATCGCTCTAATGACATACTGAACAGCTAAAAAGTGTGACTGGTTATCATCGGTAACAAGCAAAAAAAAATAATAATAATAATTATACAAGTGCGTTTGCTTCTATAGAAAAAAATAATCACGGGTTGAATATCGATTGTTGCTTCACACGGACGGGAAATTTACTAGATGAATGTTGAAAACGACTTTCTTTAAGGCAATTTCACGGAATCTACATGAAAGTTCCACATAGGAAATTTGTTTCTCTCCTACAGCAGTATACATACTAAAGCAAATCTTTTATGGTTTGAAATAAGCTCACCATGCTTAGTTATTAAATTTCAATCAGCCTTACTAGGGGTCTCTTTCACACAAATCAAATATAATTTATTATTATTTCTCTGAAAGAAATCTAGTGAAATTGTCAGTTTATGTTTACAACATTGTTACTACCGGGACGAATTTTACATTAATTAACCGTTTATAAAAATAATTTATAGCTGTGTTTCATAAAAAAAATCACAAGGTACTCACTTCTCAGGTCAAGGCTATTTCCTTTGGGCAAGTACATATAAGATCTGATAATTTTGACAGGTTCTTCCCTTATCAAGACTCATTAGAGGTAAACACAATGTATCGTAATCATGAATGTGATATTCTTTTTTATCTCACCACATATAGATAATTGATAGGCAATCTATAATACTTGATTATCATCAAAATGATATTTCCTTCATAGTTCAATAGATCAATTTATGCAAAATTCCTATCACTTAAATTTGGCTACTATCTGCCTAATTATTCAACATTTTATTGAGTTACGAGCTGTAATTTATTCTTTCCATATGCTTCTCATCTTTATTTGGTGGCGGAAGTAATGATGCAGATTGGGCTAGGCATCTCGATACTCTTTGGTTTGTCACAACATTGTGTATGTTTCTTGGTGATTTTATGATTTCATGGAAGAGTATGAAACAATTTTATTGTCTGAATCATCTATAAAGTTTAAATATTGTTCAGTATCTGTAGTATTTTAAAAAATTATGGATGTGCAGACATCTATTTAAACTCATTCTTTCTTAAGAAAATCTAGTTCCTTTAAATCCTGATAATAACAGTGTAGTCCAAATTACTCTTAGTTTAGTGTCTCATGAGGAGATTAAATATATTGAAGTTAAATATCATTCAATCGAGAAACCTTTAATGCTCATATCATTTCTCTTACTTGCATCTCTACAAACGTTCAAAATATAAGAATATTTATGTAGTCATTAACCAAGTAAAATTATAGATTTATTGTAAAAAATTGATGCATATTGACTAACAAATATTAGAGGGGAGATATCAACATAATAAATATTAATTACGAATATCAACATATTTATATCAATTACCCATCATAAATAATGGCTAGCCACATCATCAATCAATATGATCACGGATGCACCTTATCAATCAGTGTGTTTCATGGATTAAAAAGTTATCCAAAGTACACACATCAACGCGAGCTCATTCGTGAAAAACAGAGTGGAAATAGTAAGTGGAAGATGTCAGAATCCTCAACAGAAATCATACTTATTTTTTTGTTAATATAGCTTTTGATTGTTCTAAAGTAGATATTTTTCTGAATCACTTTGATGGGTGGTTAGTAATCATTGTCCTTGAATCTATAGTTTGGCTCATTTCATTTATTAGTTTCACGATATTTAATCACATGCTTCAAGCGAAATTATCCAAATAAAAGAAAAACAAATTAATTTGTTGGTTTTGTTAATCATTAAGCATTGTTTTAATTTAACACATATATCAGATTTTGTGCTTATGCCATAAGGTCTTCGCAATAGTTTAATCATGTGATTTTGTATAATTTATATCAGTGGAGAATATCAAATTATAGACTTTACTTTGTATTCTATATCAAATCTATTAATTGGTTGTGTAAGAGATATGTTCATTGTACTACCAATATGCCCAAACAATACAATAACTTATTTATGTGAATATAGTAGATAATTATTTTATATGTTACTTGATTTCTTCATGGGAATTATTTTTCATTTTATGAGCTTTTTTTTTTAAGTATTATGCCTCTATCCGCCACAAGGCTTACGCCTTGTCTCACTAAGGTAAAATGCCCCAATTCCGGATTTCACATTTTAAAAACTTGGTGAGCACTGATTTCTTGTAATTAATTGTACAGCTCTTGATTTTGTATACTTCCTATTAAGAAACTCTTCTTGGGTTGTATGAACATCGCTCCAATGTTAGAATAAATCTCAAGCAATTCAGGCATCAAAGCTTGTTTCTCATTATTTGTCACAACATGAATGAATCACACTATATCATAAACCATACCACAAAAAACTAAACGTAGAAAAAGTAGACTTACTATAAAAACGCATTTACACTCTCTTACCCAAAGGAAAGACTCATCGCACCAGCAAAATCCTGAATTTGCTGGCGCACGACATCAATTCCCCTATCATCAGATGCATTTAACTCCAGAATCATATTCTTATACTGCCCCCCGTAGAGTTTCCGCGCCAGCGCTAGAATTGTTGACGTCTTTCCCGTCCCGGGGGGTCCGTAGAGAAGAAGATGCGGCAACTTGTTCTCGTTCGTCAATCGATCAACTTTCACGACGCAAATGCCATATTTATTTCAGAAGAAATTCGAGGAACGACGGGAAGGTAAGATGAGAAAACTGAAATAAGAAAGAGATCAATAGATGGAGTTGTTACTGGTATCAACGATGTCGCGGTGAGCAGCTACATCGGCTAAGGATTGAGGGCGGTACTTCTCCACCCACGGACCGGACCTAGCACCTTTGTCGGCGGCGACAGAGGGGGTCTTTCCCTTGTTGGATTTCGACGGTAGGGCGTCGACGTCGATCTCCATGGTCGCCTCTGCCATTGAGAATTAGTGATGGGGTTTAGTTTTTTATTTTATTTTTCACCGTCCGTCGAGGGTTTATGGTGATTGGCGCCAAAGGCAAAGGACGGCTAATCTCCAGCTTTTTATAAATTATTACATCAGTACTTCAATTTTTTTATTTTTTAGCTAATGTCACGACTAATTTTTCTTAAGTCACCTGTGAGGCTTAGCAATCCTCACAGTTTTTGGACTTACGAGTGCCAAACACTTCTAAAAAGAAGACTATGGAGAAGTATGAGAGAAGAATATTTTAAAGAACAATTACAATTCTTGAAAGCTTGGAAGCTTGGAAGCTTGAATACTTTCTTAGTTAATTACAAATGAGGGGAAGAACCTCTATTTATAGTTCCCTTCCAAGCCATGAGAATATTCTAGAATTATCTACTTTTTAGAGTACCCATACAATTTTTACATAAATACATAATCCTAAATCCTTCTAGATTCTTCTTGAACTCTCCATGCTCCATCCTTGAATTCTTCATGGAGTATTGTCTTCCTTTGACCTCTAGAATTGGGTAGAAGTTTCTAGAGTTGTGTGGAACTCTCTTTCACCTTCTTGGCTCTAGAAGGTTCTTGTCATGCATGCATTTTCTAGAGTTTTCCTTCCCATACCTGTCTTGTCATTTCTTTGAAAATGGCGGGGCGTGACACTCTCCCCCACTTAAACCCGCAATGCCCTCATTGCGGCTTACCCTGCACCTTTGAAACTGTCTCCTCAGTTTGCCCCAAGACTTGGCAAACTTTGGTTTCTTTTTGGTGTTATGGGATAGGGGTGTCATGCAACAAGTTTTCCTGGCTGGCGGCTTATCCCTTGCCTTCAACCTTGTTCAACCAGATTTCTTCTTTCTTGATAGTGATTCATTAGGAACCCCACCACTTTCCTTGGCATCCTAACTCCATGGGTCTTTTCTCCTTCATTGGTATCATGAAGGATAGCCAAGTTGCCCCCCTTGTCTCGTGTAATGTCATCCCTGAGTTGGATTGCGATAACGTTTTGGATCCTTGCTTGCTTAACCTTATTATCGATACTGAGCAAGCTTGACTCTCTTTCGTGATGCACAAACTATTGGCGAATGACATTGAGAATGTTCTTGCTTGCTTCTAGAAGTTCATTCCTAGGACAACTTTGTGATCATCCAAAGGAATGACAGAGAAGTCTAGAGTATCTGACCATGCCCCGATGTTGGTCTTGACTCCCTTAGCCACTTCGTCGATTGGCATCTCTGCTGAGTTGACGACTTTAATGGAGCCCCCTCTTTTAGTCATCTGCAAGCCCATCCTCTTTGCTTCCTCGCTGGAGATGAAGTTGTGGGAAGCACATGTATCCACCATTGCTTTGGTGGTCTTCCCTCATATTGCCATCTCTACAAAGAGTAACCTCTTCCCTTGGGGTTTTATCTGAGCTTGCATCCCGTTCAACAGTTGAAGAGATTCCACATGTGCCTCCATGCCATTTTCCTTATCACTTTCTTCTTCCTTATGGCTTGCAAGGAGAGAGTTGAGGGTCTTCTTCTGAGAGCATTCCCTTGCCCAATGAGGTCCTTCACAAAGAAAAAAACGGTTTTGATATGGCTTGTTGTTGGTCTTCCCCTTGTCCCTTGCCTTTGTTGGGGTTGATTCGCGATGTTTCTCCTCCTTGTGTTTGTCCTTGTCATCCCCACCTTTGAAATCACAACTCTTCTTATCTTCAGGTTTTCTAGACTCATTTGAATAGTCAACCAAGCTTTCAACAATCGTGATCGCAGTGGCAAGACCTGACACTCCTCGCCTCGTAAGCTCGCTCTTTACCCAATGTTGGAGCCCATCATGAAGTTGAAGAGAGCATCCTTGTATGACATATCAGGGATTTCAAGAATCATGCTTTTAAACTTTTTAATGCGGTCTTGAATCAAACCCATTGGCTTAAGCCTTTGCAGTCGGGCCCGAGCCTCAACCTCAACATTCTCGGGATAGAACTGCCTCTTTAGCTCTCTCTCCTGAAATCATTAAAAGTAGACATGGAGAACAAATCTTTCTCTACATCTCCTTTTCTCCTTCTCCACCAAAGCATAGCGATGTTCGAGAGATAAAGAGAGGCAAATTGTATTTTTGCATCTTTATCGGCAATCCACATCGCTCTAAAATATTGCTCTAGTCCTCATATAAGGTTGTCTATTTCTTTCGCGCCGTGAACCCCTCCAAAACTCATAGGTTTTGGAACTTCAATCCTCTTGCCTTCGAAAGTGGGATGGCTTGTGGATGCCGATAGTGCTCTCTTACACAGTGAAACATTTCCACACATCTCCTCCAAACTAGCACGTATGTCGCTCATCTCCTCCTCATAAGCTCTTTGTATCTCTTGAAGTTTCCCCAACAAATTCTCCCGCAACTTAGCCATATGGCCCATTAAGGTCTCCTCAAGTTGAAGCATCATATCTCTGATCGTTGAATGGATGGTGACGTCCTTCTCCTTGAGTTCATCAACCCTTTTTGCCAAGATCCTATACTTGGGCCTCCATGCCATTCATCTCCTCCTCCATCCTAGCAAGGCATGAAACAAAGCCATGCATGATCTTTTTGGACCTCCCATATGGCTTAAGTGCAACGAGATCTCTTTGTTCCTGACAGCCTCACCCTTGAGATGACTCCACATTAGTGGCTTCCGACTCTATCACGTGCTCTTTGAAAATCTTTTTCATTTCTTCGAAACTGAGGCTTTGATACCAACCGTCACAAACTAACTTTCCCCAAGTCACCCATGCGGCTTTAACGCCCTCATTTAACACTAAATCAGCATAATCCTCACAACACTTGGACTTGTGAGCGCCAAACACTTCTAAGAAGAAGACTAGGGATAAGTATGGGAGAAAAGAACAATTTACTAAGAAAGAACAATTACAACTCTTGAAAGCTTGGAAGCTTGAATACTTTCTTAGGTGATTAAAAATGAAGGGAGAGACCTCCATTTATAGTCCCCCTCCAAGCCATGAGAATATTCCAGAATTCCCTATATTCTATAGTATTCCATACAATTCTAACATAAATACATAATCCTAGATTCTTCTAGATTTTTCTTGAACTCTCCATGCTCCATCCTTGAATTCTTCATAGAGTATTGCCTTCCTTTGACCTCTAGAATTGGGTAGCAATTTTCTAGAGTTTTGTGGAAGTCTCTTTTACCTTCTTGGCTCTAGAAGGTTCTTTTCATGCATGCCTCTTCTAGAGTTTTCCTTCCCATAATTGTCCTGCTATTTCTTTGGAAATGGCGGGACGTGACATACAACTTCAAATATGCTACCTAGAAAGGTATTGCAATGAAACTGACTGTCTGTTTGCTGTGGTTGTGTAAAAATAATTATGAGACAACTATTTCTGGAAAAATGATCATTCTACTCCAGTAGAGTAAAGTTCTCTCAAACAAAATATTACATAATTTTTTTATTAAACAAATTATTTCTTAAACGGTAAATTTACAGTAATTAATAATTAAGTAGTTTTAATAATTAAGAACTTACATTTTATCAAATAATTAAAACATAAAAATATGTTTATAAATTAATTAATTAATCATTAAATAATATATAAATTAGTTTAATTATGAATAATTTATAATTTGAAATATATCAAATAATCATTAATTAATAATAATTTAAATTAATAAAATTAAAACTTATTGTAAATAATCCATCTCCTCCCTCTCCTCTCTCCCAGTTTCGCCCAAAACCATGGCCTTCGTGAACGAACTCTCGCAGTATAGTCGCGATTAGAGCAAGCTTGGAAGACAATGATGAGATAGCTCCCAATTTCGCCCAAAACCATAACCTCTGTGAACAAAACCTTGTGGTACACTCACGATTAGAGCATGCTGGGAAGGCCATGATGAGATAGCGGTGTACAGAGACCATTGAAAGACGATGAAGCGACCGGGAGAGAAGAGCGCGAGGTCGCGAGGTTCTATTGAGTATTGAGGGACGGTGGAGCAACAGGAGTAAGCTGCGTAATAATCCATCACTAGAACATGAGCCACGAGGTTCAATCTGTGGCCCACATTCCGCCAAAACAGCGTGTCGACGCTCTTGGGATGCCAAACCAAACGGTCGCGATTCGTGGTCGCTCACTGCACCGCGCGAAATCCGCCGCCTCAAACGGACCCTAAGTCTTACAGTGTGGTGCATGGTAATGTGGCGATTGGTGGTTAACCGTCCTCACTTGTGATGTTTGGATGAAATATTTTCTTCAAAGATATAGTAGAGCGCATCACCAGTAGGGCCTGGGGTTGCTCAAAAATAACTCATTGTGCCTTACACTTTGCTTTTGGCTTGTGTTCATTTTGTTGGTTAAGTAAAGGACACAACTGTAAATAAATTTTTTGAGCTCATTTAATAAATAAATTAAATATGAATAAAAAAAATTATTTATATTTTTAATTTAATTCAAATTAATTAAATAAAAAGTAAAAATTATTAATAAATATTTATATAAACTTTTATATTGTACTTAAAAAAATATTGTTTTATTAGATTTTAAATAATTTTTGTTAGGATTGTAAGTGAAAAAATAATTTTTGTATTGAATATGAAAATTTATAAGAATTAGTTGTTATGTATGTAAATGCCATAAACAAAAGCCCTCCCTGCCCCCACCTTGTCCCGTCCTGCCTTTACTCCTGTGCTCTTGCCTTTCGTGTTGTAAATACATAAAAATTGTGTGGTGGATATGTAAATGTCAGAAAAAACTATCAAATCCTGAACAGTCCCCTTCCCTCTAGCCCCACCACAAATATTTACATACGGTAAGAACGCACAGTTCTCCTAGCTTAATTCCCTCCCAATAATCCCTCAATAACCTCTGTAAAGTTTATTGGGGTGTTATTGTAGAGTTATTTCGGCGTTATTTGAAGTCAATACCCTAACACCAGAGAAAATCTTAAAGTGTAACCGCAAAATGTGAAAGTCTCGCAGAGGTTATTGAGGGGTTATTGGGAGCGGATTACGCACAGAGAGCTGCATGCATTCTCCGAATGTAAATATTTCTCCTCGCCCCACCTCCATCTCCCTACCGAAACGACGTGAATATTGGAATAAAAACTTATCCAACTCTCTTTAAAATGTAAAAGGAAAGCACATTTCTTCTGAATCATCTATAGACACAAGCGATATAACACATTGTTGTGTGAATTTAATATGATTTTATCATCTCTTAAAAGAGTTTTAACATAAGAAAACT